GTGAGGATTTGAAAACAAAGATTTAAACTACAGTAATACTGTATATCAAGAAACTTATTTTACTGTGAGTTTGTTTTGGGGGGTGGAGGGGATGAAGAGGGGCATGCCATGGGGATGGAGGTTGGTGTTTGGACCTGCAATGCTAGTGCAAGTTCCTTGTTTCTGCTGGATTTCTAGTTTCTGGATTTGTGATCCAGATACCTTGTTCCAGGCAGACCCAGACTCTAACTGACCACAGCCTCTCCATTTGATAACAGGCAAATTTTATTGCTGCAGAGCAATAGCAGTTAAGAATAATGCAAACAGTTCTATATCTACCAGTCCTAGAGCTGTCATAGGGAAGGTATGTCTGGCCAGTACATGAGCTTCACTCTGAGGTTCTTTGTTGAATATCAGATGTCAGCAGCTTAGAGGTTGAGAGCTGAGTTCACCGAGTGGGGTGGGTGAGACGCGCTGGTGGTGTGCCCTTTGTCCATGGTGGCCTCAGTTTCCCTTTTGGGGATCCTTTGGTGCTCTGAAATTCCTCATTTTGTATTTTTTCCCCCTCTGACCCTTCATCTTTGGGTTTTGTTGATTGGTCTCCCTGTGGTTATCATATTGTCTACATTCTGTCCTGGCAGCATATTCCTTTGTTTCACAAACCCATCACATGCACACATATCTTTATTTGGGCATTTATTGGCCTCCGTCCACCCAAACCGGAACTCCCAAGAGCTGCACAGTTTGGCATTGTGACCTAATGCCACCTTATCTCATGGTATGGAACAGTGTGGTACAAGTTTTTCAGTTTTTCATACTTTCTGTGTGTCTGCTGGCTTCAGACACAGTGGGCCTTGAAGGGGAAACTGTCACAAACAGGCTTTTAGAACCAGTTAACCCTTGCCATTCCCCTGAACCATTATTCTAATGCATACCTGCTTTACCTACATGCCAGTTCCCAAAAGCAAACCTCTAAATTTCATTCTGTAGCCATCAGTTTCATGTGGCAGTTGAAACAGGTTACATCGCAGTACATGCTGGAACAAGAAATTCAGGAGTAGGTAACCTTTTCTGGATGTGGGCTGCAGTGACCCACCCAGTCGTTGGCAGGGAGAAAGTCAGGTGCTAGAACCCAGCCACCACTACCACTTGTCTCTAGTGGTTCTGGGAGAGTGCCCACAGCCAGTGCTTGTCCCTGCTGCAGCACAGGGAGAGTGCCCATACCAAAGCTCCATATCCATGGGCCTTATCCAGTGATTCCTCAAGTTGGATCCAGAACTGTGGGCTATAGGTTGCCAGACCCCCTGCCATATATAACTGACTATGCAGATAATCTGGCAATATTTAGAGATTCTACACGTGCATATGGCTGTATGCTAAGTTCTAAATTAATTGTGAAACAAAAAAGGATGAAAGTTTAAAGATTTATAGTATGAAATCATTTTATCATGGTACAAAACAGTTTAATTTAAGAATACTTGCTGATAGATTCTAGCTTTTATAGTTAGAATCTCTATCTAAGGGGAAAAAATCTTTCTTTGGCTGTATACACACCAGATTTTCACTTAACCAGGGGCAGGAAGTTACGGGCTTCATAACATGGTAACTGCCTTGTGCAAGTTAATAATATCTTTTTCCCACTCAGATATTTGTGCCTGGCACAAAGATGAAGTAAACATTTCATTTATATTTTTTCCTTATAAAAAGTACTTAGCAACATTAGGATTCAAGACTAATTCATTTTCATTATTTAGTTGGATGTCATTACAACCCAGGTTCCATCAGCTCTGACTGTGAGATATTACTTGTGATTGCTTGGCATTTTTTAAAGATGACTGTGGGTCCGTGTAGGTCCTCAGTTTATGCATTGCTCTGTCCAGCAATTGTTGAGAGCAGGTTGTTTTAGTAAAAAAAGAAACATTTTTGTTTCTTAGTTAGATTAAATTAAAGCTTTGGGTGTCAGAGGCAAGACTCAAGTATGCTGTCAAGGTCAGTACTTATGAAAATCTAACAATAGAGATAATAGATATAGCTCATAATTACAAAATAGTTTTTCTACTATTTCTTCCCCGACTTCTCTTGGATTTCTTTTCTGCTCTTGTATTTTATTCTTATCAGTGTTGTATCAAATATTATACTCGAATGTGAATTATGTTTCTTCCCGTGGAAGCTTTCCATTGTTTGACATTGATCCAGAGCCATTTACTGCTTAGTGGCATAGGGTTACTGCAATTTCCTACCTCTGTCTTTTATTTTTCTCAAGGGGAAGCCATACCAGGGCTTAACATAATGAATTCTAGTTTAGATTTCCAGTGAGAAAGTGAACCAGAATTTGACTATACCTTCACAGAAGGAACTGTTTTAGAACACCACGAGAATGGAACTTGCATTTTCCTGGGCAGATTAGTGTGGTTTGCATTCATTTATAAAAAACATTTTTTAATAGAGAACTATAAATTTAATTTGATTTCAACTTGAAAATTAATAGTCCATGTTTCAAGATGTATTTGTGGAAGGAAAGAGAATAATGTATTTCCAGTGGGCTAGATGGGATAGGAATTTCAATTCTTTCCATGCGCCAGCAGTCCTTTCCTGAAAATAGTATGCTTTCTATATATTCCTTCTGAGCAAAACACCTTGTTTGTTATACAGAATTTTTCGATATTCGTGAGTGTTGCATTTCCTGGCAGTCCTGTGGTTAAAAGCCGTGTGGTGCATTCCGTATTATTGTCTTTCTTTTTTCTCTTTGTTCTTTTTTTTAAGATTTAAAATTCTGCTTTTTGTTCAGTGGTTTC